GCGAAAAAAAAGCGAAAAAGCGACATTCTCAAATAGCGGCATTCTTTTCTTTCCAACCCTATTGCATTTTGATTTATGTTCCTGTAGCAGAATTGAGACACCATAAAACACTTATATAGGGTCGCTAATCATCCTGTGCCTTTCGATAGCTTTTTTCCGATGTTATCGATAAATTTGAAAACTGAATTGCACGTAAACAGCGAGGTGCATTTCCAGGTGGAAGTTCGGAGCGGCACAGAATCAGCATTGTGGCCTACGGAGAACCCAACGGATTTTCTGCGATGGCCCGAACTGTTGGATATACTTGCGCTGTTGTGTCGAACATGGTCCTGCAAGGTCTGTAGATTGTATACACATTATCCACAGAGTTGCAGGATTGTGTACAACTGGGAACTTTTTAGGTGAAATTCAAAAAGCTGGAGTTCTCCGACCTGTAACCAAGGAGATTTACCGACCAGCCTTGAAGCGGTTAGCTGATCTAGGCATCCATGCAACGAAGATTGTTACGCAATTATGAGTCATTGCATGCTCGACTCGATTGTCAGCGCGATCTCATCTCTTGCATTAGAGCTGAGTAGATTGTTTGGTTAACTTTTCATATTTCATATTTTCATATTATAATCTTGTTCGTTTTATCTAGCTTCATATTTGTTTGTTTTATGCGAATTTTTTGATTTTTTTTACCCTTTGCCCAAGATCTTGTCCACCCGTTGATACGATGTTTTATACATGTAATTACCTCGGTTTTATTCATATCTCCGCAGTCGTCCTCTGGAGCATGAATGTTGCTTTTAGGGTGGCTTTTACTCAGCACTGAGGACTCATTGTCTACATTGTTAATTTGTATCTGTGATAGCTGTACCTCCCGATATTCTTTCTATAGTTTTCACCTCTAGCTCACAACCTCATATCTTTTTACCTGAACTTGCTCATTGCCTACTGGGTGTTTGTATTTTTTTCATAAATTTACTAATTTTACTCGATATTTTGAATTCATGCGGCCACTTGGAAGGCTGGGGACAGTCGTCTCTGTCCGTTAGAGCTGTCCGTCGTCACCTGCAGCTTTGCTTACAACGCGTTGTGTTTGAGGGAGTTCGAGAGAGGTTATTGATTCGTAGTCCACACGACTTGCAATCATCGTTCAGCGATTTCTCCTGCATTTTGCTTTTTGAACGGCTTGCAGAAAGATCGACTTCTGAATACTTTCGTATTTACTTCGTAATTTTCTCTCGATTCGTTATCTTTCATGACTTTGTTGTTATTTACGTGCTGTGCGATGCTGTGCGAATGCTGGTGACTAAGCTTTTGTCTCGCCGGTGCTTCATAAGCAACCCAACCCACCAATTAGTCAGTTTTCTTTAATTGCGAAGTCGAAAGTCATTTTTCCGAAAGATAGGTTTTTCTTATACTTCCTTATCCTGCTTCGAATTTTCTAAACTTTAGAATTCTCAGAAAAAAAAACAGTGCTATCGTATAACTAAAACATCGTTTTTTTTTCATAAATTACGCACCACACACTGCAGAGTCTAGTAGAGATTTCTTCGATGACATTTTGGCTCACTGCATATGCTTATTGTAGCAGTTTACTGACCAGGGGAGGACCCATAGTCGAAATCGCCTTTTCA